AGAAACATCCGATATGTCGAACAACAGGTATTCAAGCCAACGCGGAAATGGAGGACAACGCAGTTCAAACTTCCTTAATTTTTGCCGCGCTGAGGGAGAAACATGGTTTCCCTCTCTTACAAGAAACAACAGTTAACAAAAAGCCTGTATATGTCGTATATCCAAATTATACATTGCCCGATCTGTCGTTTCTCAAGATTAAAGATACTAAAATTGATAACATCGCGTTGAAACCACATACATTTGATAGAAGCAAGATGGAATGGAAACGTGCCGTTCGTTCAAGTAGACCATTTTCATGTAACGATATCGATGCTCTACGACAACGTGGATTCGCGCATATAAAGGATTGGGAGTCGCTTACGTTCCTTTTACCATATGAATACAAAAAGATTTTACATGATGTACCAGAAGTATCGAGATACATTAATATCAATGAGGAGGTTAAACGACCCTTATTCTGTTTGTCTCCACCAATGCGTCATAAAACACGACCAATCAGCGAAATTATACCAAATACTACTTCATCAACGAGCAGTACCGCGACGCAACCATCATCCGGGTATAGAGGCTCGTCGACGATTTTAACCGATTCTTCGACAAATCAGCAGCCATTGTCGAACAATGCGATCAATCCGTTGTATTTATATCGATATGACAGTATGAGTTCGGAGGCCAGTTTGAATAACGACAAGAAGATGCATAGGTTCAATCAAACGAGGCAGGCTTGTCCGTCTCTTCCAAAGCGATCCGTATCCTTACCGCAAGGCGAGGGTGAATCTGATAATGGCAGAGTACCGCCGCGACCTCCATTGCCGAGAAGTATTTTACGAAAGAATAAGGTACTTGCGAGTAAACGATACAGCATGTTCGAGATGGGAGATGTTGGCGAGCAATCGGAAGAATCTGTGGAAATAAACAAGAGAATGTCTTTGCAAGAGCCATATTACATGAATAATGACTTGCAGTTATTATGTCGCGAAAGAACGATCGATTCAGAAAAGGATGTCGATGAAACGGAAGCGGAGAGATATCTTAAAGGTAAGGATGAGTCATTTGGCATTTGTTTTCTGATTGTTTTTAACTGTCGACCTATATTTATTCTCAACACCCTTTACAATATAATTATTGCAGAGAAATTAAACGACATTACAAATAATGCGAACATGGAGTCGGAGACTTCTCAGAATAGCGACGATGATATCAAACAATTAGAAGAATATTTGAAACGTAGCGCAATCTCGTCGCAAAGCAGCGACGGAGATATTGACAATGCTGAAGTAAAAGTTAGATCGTACGTAAGAAAGTTTTTAGCTTTGAGAATGAACAAGGATCCGCTTGTTAGAAATATTGATGTAGGAGAATCACAAAGAAAAACCGTCAGTTTTGCCACGCACCAAAGAAAAAAACATCTGGACGCAAAGGTAAATCACTAATACTAATTTTAGCATTAGCAAATTTTTGTGTGTGTATGTACTTGTTTTAATATATATATATATATTTACATATAAGGGTATTTATTCATTTCAGCTAAATAATCTGAATATCGTCGTAAATGAACAAAGTCACGATCAGGCAACTGAAGATAAATTAATAGAATTAGAAGAAAAGAAAAGTATGCGCGTTTTATTTATTATTTAATCTAATTTTATTGAAGCTCTCAAAATCTTTAATATGGTACTCTTTTTCAGAAATGGTATTGTCTGTAAATAGAGCGGTTGATCTTTTATTGAAGTATTGGAATGCTGACTCCAATCATAGTCGTCCTAATTATAACGAAAGGAACGAGTGCGCTCAAATTTGTCTAAGCAATCTGTGCCCAGCTTTATATGCTATTATGTCGGATGGCTTGAAACCCCATTTGAATTCCACCTTTGGACCAATTACTAATAGCGTTTGGCAGGTTGTCGAAGCTAGTTCTCAACAAGGACCCCTCACAAAGACGTTGAATGAATTAGTGCAGAGAATTAATGGCGAAGATGTTATTACAGAAGGAATGTTAAAGTTCCATGCATTTGTATTTGGCTTGTTGAAGTAAGTTAGAATCGCTAGTCTTTCTCTCATTCTGTACATACATCGTTACATTACGTTACATTATTTCATATATATAGTTTTTATCCGTTTAACATATTGATTGTATAATTAATCTATTTCATTCTCTTTTCTAGTCTAAGAGCTTTGGATGCATGGTTTGCATATTTATGTACACGTGAATCAATCTTACGGAAACATTACAGTAACAATAGCTTATTCGTCGCGGCTTTGGCCAATGCGAATGTCCGAGAAATCGTTGATTCGTTGTTGTACATCTTGAATCCACTTGCATTTTGTCCATTTCACTTGGATCTTCTCTATCAGTATCGCCAATTGCAAAATAGTTTTGGGAATGTGAATAATCATACTGTGAATGTAAGTAAACCTATCATTCTCGATTTCTTTTGTACGATACATGCTATTGCGCGCGTTCATTTCATGCGATTTTCTAGGTCTTGAGCTTTAGAAATGCCGATCTGACTATGAAAGATCTTGAGGCTGACGAAACGGAATCCTGCAGAATGGTTTCTAGTCCGAAAAAGATACGACCAAGATCTTGCATTGCTTATAACATGGATGATAAATGCAACATTCTGCATAAAGGCGATCTTCAAAATGCAAAAAAACGTTTCAGTGCCATAAATCCGAAGGCGTTTTACGCATTGGACAAATTGACTTCTGAGGATTCTGAAGATTACACAGATAGTTTGGAACATTCTCCTTTAAATAAAAAAGCAAGCAAGCAGTCGCAATCTAAACTTCTTAATCCGGATAAATCGAGTGACGACAATGGTCTCTCTGTTGAAACAAAATTCAAAAAATTGCAGGAAAAATGGGAGTTAATGGGTAAGGAAGGTAATAATAAGGGTCAACCTGTTGCAATGACTCCCTCGTCGCCTGTCCGGACATTTGGAGTATTAGGGAAATCAAAGATACCTAGATTGCTCACGTCACCAGTGAAGCAGTCTAATGTTGCGACGAATATCGTTGGAAAATCGTCAAAATCACCCATGTCGGGAGTCTCTTCATTGAAGAAGCCCGCTAATCTTCCTACGACAAAGACAACCCTAAAGAAACCTATAGATACGAAAGTGAGAGACGTGACGCGTCGTACGAGTCGCGTTGATCAGGATACTCTAGGCGTGACACGAATTCATACTGCACGCCCGAGTTCCTTACCATATAAATCTCATGGAGTAACGTCGAATGACAAGAATCTAATATCGCCTCACAGACGAGCCGTTTCGACCTCTCTACCACGACCAACTGTTACTACAGTTTCGAGAACACCGGTTTCAAAACATCCACACAAGTAAATATAAATGATTTCATATGAGCGTACTATTTTTTTTTTTTAATCTATTATCTTTTCTCTCTAGTTTTATATATTGGTTGCAAATATTATTCATTTATACAAGCTATCTATTTCATATCTATATTACAAATGAAATAATGTAACTCTTTTGTTTATACATTTATTTACATCACGCTTTTCTACTTTTTGTTCTGCTTTGTATTTTAGCCCTTTTCTTTGTTCTCTCTTTCTTTAGATATGTACGATAACGGTTCGCGCATCTCGATTGCAGAGAGGTCCGTACTCTCACTCATAGGATACCGTCGGACACTGGTCATCTTTCATTCGCAGAGGGGGAGAAACTGAAAGTAATATTAGAGGTGGATAATAAGTGGTTATTGTGCGCGAAAGGTGATCGAAGAGGTTTGGTACCACGAGCATGTGTACGCACCGTTCAAACTTAGCCCCTCTTCTCGACAACCCTTCACGATCGCAATTGTAACCATAATCCTACTCAACGGTCATATCTGTAATTTCATCTTCAAAAATGGGACGAAGATGAGCGAATTGCGAGGACGAGCTGAAAAGTTCAAATTACCTAAATATCTCGAGGCGATATATAAGTGATGTACAGTGTATTAAAATTGTTTTTAAGCCATATGATATAATACGCATTATCACGCGCTTGTAAAGTTACTTTTAACAGAAGTTTAATCGAAAACATTTCGTTTCTATGGAAATGCGACAGTAGTATTATCGCTAGCGGCGCCATCGAAGATAGAGATATCACCTAGTCATAGGCTTTTTTTAGACGACATATTTATTTTATTTAGATTGATTTATTTTAGAACGATGTACAAATGCGTGGATAACGATTCGATATATCCTCGACGAATAAAAAGCCGAAAACAGTGTGTACTAATCTACACATATTATGAATGTGTGTGTGTAACTGTGATCCTAGTAAATAGGCGATTTAGTTTATTAGTACGAACGCGCGGTGTACATATTGTTTTGATGTTTAGATACTGTGACTTGATAATTTATTTATATCTCTATACTTTTTACATCGCGCAACAACGATTCTTTATTCTGATTTTATTTAAGTCGATATGCACTTTCGCGATGGCGGCGATTACATTTTTTACATGCTTCATGGTATTTCCTGATCATATATACATATATGTATACGTATATACATATATGTATGTGTTACGATATATAATATAATCAAATAAAGTCTGTTGTGAATTATATTTAGAAATGTATGTAGTCTATCAATTACATCAAATGCAACTCAATGCAACATGGAATGTCTTTTTAATACCATTTTGGTTTATGATCTAACGAAGTAATCTACTTTTATATGATCTTATATCACAAAAGTAACTGCATTAAGGCTTATATTTTTTTAATTCACTTCTATCTAAAAGAATTTTTATCCGAAGTTGCAGGTTCGTCAAAATTATTTCAATTCTAATAATTTTTAATAATTATCAATTATTTGCAAATCCTATACGATATGACGATTATATATAATATTAATAACTTTCATTAATGAAAGCATCTTCTTTTATTTAACAAAGAAAATTTCTTGTTGCAAGTGGATTATATATAGAATATTACATAATAAATTTTCTGCGAAAAAGATAATTTGAAGTTTGAACATTTACAGAGAACAGTCACAGAAACACTTGTTCACACTTTTTATGACATCTGTCTGGAGTTTCAAGCCGTTATAATAGCAAAAATAACTGTTTAATGTAAAAGTAATGAGTTATCGTTACTTTGCGGAATTTTTACAGCTTGCTTAGAATAAATATAAGTTAGAGAAAATAGAGTGGCTTTGTTCGATATAAAATCACAGCGAAGGATAAGGGCCGATAAGAGGGGGAATACTGTTGTTACGTAAATATTTAGACAGATTTTATTATCGCGTTATCTCTACAATCGTTATCGAAATAATCATTTATATTCCAAGACGTGCATATATAAAAAGGCGCAATTAATATCACTTGTCAGTCAGCCGATTTTTGCTGTGAATGATATCTTGGTGATATCGATAACTACAATCATGAGGATCACCATCGCATTGTCCTTTTTGGCTGTGCTTTATACCGTAAGTTTCTTGTTGAGAAATGATTTATAATAAAAAAAAGAGAAATGCTTGACAGATGCATTACAGTTTTGAATTTTATTTGTGCAGAGTTTTTATTCGAAACATAATAAGATTTAGTAATAAAATTGATCATTGTTAAACAAGAAAAATGTTTGTGCTCTCCTCATTGATTATAAAAATTCTAGTTTTATTTTTTCGTACAATATTTTTATCGATTAAAACTGAAATATTGATCATATATTAATTGAAATGGACAAAAGTGTAGTTGCAATCGATCAAACGCGATGCACTCATTATTTTTTACCCCTTATCCTATCAACTTTAGGTCGAGGCTATTCCAACAGATTCGAATGATTTGGAAATTTTGAGACTTCGAGTGAGGGAACTGAAATGGAATGTAGAGACTGTTATACGTCAACTTGAGTTACTTCGTACTCGGACAGAAGAAGATACCCTTCAAAAAGTTTCCTTAAAGTGGAGTGAAGAACAAGACAGTCACAGAGAATATAAAACTTTATTAATTTCTGGGATACGTGTAAGTAATAATTAAAAATGATCCGTGACTATATACAAGACGCTGTATAATTTTCTCTATTTATTTTATAATTATTCGCAAATCTGTACAAATTGTCATTAAATCTTCAAAATGTAACTCGTACATTATGATCTGAACATTTAATCTTAACTTATATTTTTTAATTTAGATTACAAAATTATTTAATTATAGTTCATCAATTTGTGTGAATCTTAAACTGATTGTATAACAGATTAAAGATATACATAAAATTCCGTGCATAATAATCATTCGACGACTTTGATATTTGATGAAACCCCTATTATAAGACCCTAACGTATATTGTAATTCATTTGTGTATTATACCAATAATTTATTTATTCTTAGACTGAAATAAACATCGCTAAGACGGCAGGTAAAGACGTGACCTCATGCTACGACGAAGCCATCGAAGGTATCAAAAAGAATGAGCAACTAGCATATAAGGAAGGTTCAAAATGCGAAGACTTCGCTGGAAATTCCATCCATAACAACCTTGGCTTTATCGATAATCTCATTTCAGTAAGCTTTTTCACGACAATTACATATAGATTGCGCGATCAATTTTTTCATCCTAATTAGAATTAATGAAGTTCCAATAAAATTTCAATCTTTAATCTTTTTCCAGACCGGAGACGCGTTGTCGTTGCAGTCGGATAGTATCTTCTTGAATTGTCACGATAGCGACATTTACAGGATGCGGAGTTGCATCCTCAATGAACTGACGAATGCAGAAAGCTCTCTGAAGACCTTGGAGAACGACAGTGTTACTGCAGAGTTGACCATTGCACCCGTGTCCAAGAATGTTGTTACGCAGGCCACCAACTGTATCAAACAGGCTTACTCCCTTACGTATACGGAGGGGTCGGCGATCAGAATGAGAGTTACTCAATGTATTGAAACACTGAGCGTGCCAACTACGACGGCACCTGCGACAACTACGACGATAGAGCCTCCGCAAGAAGAATAATTTCATTTTAAATCTACCGGGTTTACTATTTATTTTTCTTTTTGTTGAAGGTGATTCTAAAAGAGAACAAATCAAGATTACCATTAAAAAAAAAGAACGTCATAATTCGTACTGAATAATACTAGCATAATTCGTATAGAATGTTCCTCGAATTCGTGGTGCTAGAATATTTTTCGAAAGAGTGTAATCTGTTATGTAATATGAGAGAAATAAAAAATATCTTTACAAAACAAGAATTACTTATTCACGCAATTCCTTATGTATACAATATAATATATTTGCTTGTAGTTGACCTTCAGCGGGCGTACATTTCGCGTAAGATCGCAAAAGATTCAATGCGATAAGCCGTGTCTTATCTTTATACAAATGAATCCTAACACGCGATATCAGCTTTACGAAATCTGATCATTGAATCTATTATTCGATTTATGTAGTGATAATAAGTAGCATCCACGGTCACGTGTTAACTCGGCAATCCTTTTATTATTAAAATGTTACCTACAAGATTAAAGAAGGAACATTGTGTGATCATATAATATTCAAGTAAACTCTATAATTAGATTTAAAAAAATTCAAATAAGACAAAAGTAGATACTAGTCAGTGACAAAAATGTGAATAACAAGGATATTTACATATTTTTGACTCGATATCTTTGAGATCAGACATTCTTCGACATTGATATAATTAAGCAGGAATATGGCTTATCTCGTTAATTCTCCCCTCTTATCCATCTTTCAAAGCTTCCGAATGCTTTTTTTTATCATACCTATTATATATAAAAAGGCGCGCAATTAATGTAGTACTTATCAGTTACTCGAATTCGCGTATCAACACAGGCACTCCCAAGTGATACCGCAACAAGCAAGCATGAAATTCGCTATAGCATTGTGCTTTTCGGCTATATTTTGTACCGTAAGTTCTTATCTTTTCTTTCTGAGAAAAGATCGTGAAAAAGATGTCCAAAATAGATATAAACGTTTAATTAACATATAATACCATTTTTAATGGAACGAATGTTTGATAAAATGCTTTGAATTGTTTAATTTGCTTTTTTAATCGCTTAAAGTTACATTTTTATTGTCTTGTAGTCTCGTTGACTAAACTGAAATTAGTCTAAATCAGCGAGATGTATAAAAAATGCATGATTGCTCGAAATAACACTTTCTTTAAATATCATTAATATATCATATGGCATTCGTTTTTCGTAGGTTTATGCTTCCATAATTCCAATAGACTTTGCCTATTTAGAAGATGAGCAGTTTATAAAAATAAAAAATGCGATATTGAATGTGGAACGTATCGTACAACGAATTGAACGTGTCCAGGCTGATACTAAAGAGGATGCTCTATTGACAGTTACAAAAAGATGGAATCAACAAATAAATAATTACAGAGATTACGTTAATCTATTGGTCGACTCGATGCGCGTGAGTAATAATTAGAATCGTTTTGCAATCGAGATACTCACACCTTTATTTTGTTCACTTATTGTTCGTAATTAATTACGTACGCGGTTGTTATTAAATAATATTTTATAATATATCATATTACACCGAATAAATATTTTTAGGTTTAATATTATGAAAAAATGTATATATATGTATATTATATTATAAAATTTTGTGTTGTACTAAAAACGATCCATCAGTAAGTAATAAACACATCACACAATAAAATATATATAATATTAATATCTTAATTTTACACTCAACAATATACGTATAAATATAATAGAAGATGTATATACACTGTAACAATAATTGTTGAATATAAAATTATTATTACACATTTATGATGTTATATATGTTACTGTTGGTAGTGCTTACTTGAGATGTAGTGTTTTAGAGCCAATCGTTTTTTAAAAACAGATATCAGGCGATAACTTCGTTTTCATAATTCATATAAAATTGAGCCAAATTTGTCACAAATTAAATTTGCAAACATATCAAATGAGTATTACTAGTCATTTATACCTTTGCATTTTAGAGGGAAATAAATAACGCTAAATTTAAAGGGGTAGATGCACAATACTGTTACGATACTAATTTCTGGGCTATAAACGAGCATGGCGACACAGCGTATCAATCTGCTACAAAATGTCAAGAATCTGCTGAGAAGAACATTGGGAGTAGCATTGGGTTTCTCGATAGCCTCAAGTCGGTAGGTTCTCATTGTGTTATTATTTGATCATATCAAATCTCTTTGCGACCTGAATGTAATTACCATGAATTTAATTATAATAATCGTGTCAATTTTCCTCGACAGCTTGGATACGAGTTGATAAAAGAATTAAATGATGTTGTCCTCAACTGCTATGACGACGATACTACTAAAATGCAGAGCTGCTTCCTTAATGAGTTCGGGAAAATCAATAACGCCGTAAAGGAGTTTGAGCAGGACGCCAAATATATCGAGTACAACGCATTGCCAGCGTCCAACTATGTCATTCTGCAGGCTACCCAATGTCTGAGCAACGCTTACTTGTTGGCGCGCTTCGAAAGCCAAGGCGCAATGATGTCAAACTCTAGATGCATTCGAAACGTCATAAATAAAAAAAACTGAACAGAGTTCAATCTTAAGCTTAAAAGAGTCTAAGCATTTGTCGATTACGGTTTACACTCAAAATGATATTCCGAGAGAAAACAATGCATCTCGAGAAATCAATGCAATTAATTTGACAAAGATATATGCTCTATGTATAATATCATGCATTTATATCGAAGCAAAGTTTCGATTGTCAATAGTGTGCTTTATACAATATATTTTTAAAGGTATTTGTTATGTATGATATACTTGCGAAAAATAAAAATTATTAAAAAATTATTAACAAATGTTATTTATCGATATACATTTCCTTATTCGCTTACAACTGTCATTCATCGTATTTTGAGGAAATTTTCGAAATTGATTGTAATAAGTCGTGCCTTATCGTGGATTATACTCCGTGTTATCTCTCGGATAAAATCTATTAACTTGTCAAAGTAAAAGTATTATAATATTCCATTAAGATATATGATATTTTATTAAGATCTCATGTTTTATATTAAGACGTTAAATATATAAAAGAGTGCAACTATCGATTGTGTCAGTTAGTTTCTGGCAACAATTGAATGATTCTCGAGTGAAATTAACAAGCAAACATGAGAAGTGCCATAGCATTATGCTTTTTAGCTGTACTTTGCATCGTGAGCTTTTCTTCTTTTTTAAAAAATTATTAATAGACGATAATTTTTAGTAGATTTTGTCTTCGTAGAATATTAATTTAAAGTTTAAGATTATTACATTAACATTAAAATTGTATTGTAAAAAGAAAATTATTAAAAGCATTGTCATAAAAAAAAAGAATCAATTTTAAATGAGTGAATCTAAATATTTTTTCTTAAATGAATAAAATTTCCTTTATATCATCTTTCATCGATAATCATAAATCTAATTAAAATTATATATGCATATTAATTGAATGGTACGAAGAATGTTTGTTCAAAGAATTTATTAATATTATTTTTATTTTTGATCTTAGACTGATGCAACTCTTTTGGATATTGTAATACGTCGAGTGTGGAAAACGAAAATGGATGTGGAAAGTATCATACAACAACTCAAACGTATCCACGAAAACGTTCAGGAAGACGTAGAACTGACAGTCAAGAAAAATTTATTGCAATCAATGGAAGAGTACAATAACTACGCCAATTCGGTACTCAATACGATACATGTAAGTACGTATAGTATTGATCGCATTGGTTTATGATCAAGCTATATGAATTTGACAGATTTTCAAAAATATATACGTATGTATTGTATTCAATATATGTATATCAAATAAATTTGATATATATATTGTACAACATACATAATAATTGAATACAATATATATATCAAATTTATTTGATATATATTGTATTCAATTATTATGTATGTTGTGGTTGTACTGAAAATATTAGTAACCATTAATTTTAAATGTTTTTCATAAGATAAGTATAAATATCTCGAATCTACATCCATCACAGTATTCATCAGTATATACATTTCCGATACTCTCAATAATTATATAAAACACAACATTTGATAAAGCAATATAAATAAAAACATAATACATTTTAGCTTAATTATTGTTGCTATGTTTATCTTTAGAAAGAGGTAGAAAATGCCAAGGCGAGAGGTAAGCATGCTGAACCATGCTATGATATCGCTCTTCGTCTTATCAGCGATAGCTATCGCACAGCCTATACTAAAACTCAACAATGCCAAGATGACGCTAAAAGATCTATTAACGATAAACTTTGTTACAACGATCAGCTTATCACAGTAGGTTTCTGCAATCGCACATATCACACCTACTTTCCATTGAGTGATTAATCATTAAATTCATGTTAATTTTCTTTATAGATCGGACACGAGCTGATAAAGGAATTGGACAACATCGTTTTGGATTGCTACAAACAAAATTCGCGACTTATCGACACAATAAAATTATACAATTGTATTAAAACACAGCATGGGATAAGCAAAATTAACGTAAAAAATTTAAAGAAAAATGCCAATTCCTCTGAATCTACCGCTAAAAACGCATCTAGAACTGTCATTCAACAGAATAGTGATTGTCTGAATAAAGTTTATTCGACCGCGCGCTTGGAAGTCGCGAAGGCCAGGTCAACTGCTACTGCATGTCTCAATAAAGTTTAGAAGGAACATTTATTTTTAATTGTATCGCATCGGTACAATTTATTGCCATTTGAAATTATTCACTTATTTTATCAAATCAATAATCCTTTGATAATTTATCTTGATATAGTTTCGTAGTTATAATATGCTTCGATAACCGAATTAGTTCAGTAGATTTAGAAATTTAGATAAAGTTAATATAAGTATTAGAATTTACAATATCAATATATCATACATGTTTCGAGATTTTGTTATCTGCTTTGAAGGACTCTTTTTTTTGTATAGAATATGAAATGAATAAAAATTATATCAAAACAGAAATTACTTGTTGATGTATTATACAATCATGCGTTTGCGAATAGCGTTTATAATATCTAAATACATTTCGCAAAACAGATTTTATGGAATTTGTGATATACAATTCACTTTCATTTCATTACTTATACTTGCTACAACTCTAAAAAGAAAAATTTTCAGAAAATGAGTTAAACAATTTGAATTATTAAAATTTTATTAAAATGCAATTATTTTAATGCAATATAATTGATTATACAAGAATAAGGTATGTATATTATACTTCTAAAAAGGTTTATTCCTCATTTTTTTCTTAATATTTTTGAGTTAGTTCATAAAATATAACATAGTATATGTTTGTTATTGAAATATAATATATAATTATGTTTAAAATATATCGATAAATATCTATATATGTATGTCTTTACACAATAAAGTAGTAGTCTATTAAACAAAACACAAGCAACAAAGTACTTATAGTCCAATATGTGTACATATCTTGAAGAATATTTCATTATTTGGTTTCTTGGCCCCTTGTGGACCTATATGTGACATATTGTCATTTACCGCGGTGTTTCGTCCCGGCTCCTACCTACTGAAATCGTCAGTAAGGCATTGGTAGTGGGAGCCTGCCTTAGACGCCTGGGGGTCTTATTGACCCTGGGGGGTCAATTTAAGACTCAAAGATAAATATACAGTTTATATTATTAGAATTAAATAAAAAATTCCATCAATCTGAGTCTGATGACACATGATATTTTATTGATTTAGTGTTCCTTAATAGACCAGATCTGCAGGTCGGTCGATCACCTTGTATTAAAAGCAGGTTGTGGCGAACCTTCTTTCTTCGATGAATTAGCTGGCTTACTCGTCTTTTTAGTGTTTTCGTATAGGTCCGATTTGGACACGGGTTCTTTCGAACGATTGGAATAAATTTTAAAATAAACCGCAAAAATATAATCACAAAACTTTTGATATTTGTTGAATTCTACATTCTTTAATTATCTTAAATCGATTACCAAACAAATTTTTAACATCTTTTAAATAATGATTTACAAGGATTATCTATTTAAAAAAAATATTAGCATGATAGCCGAAAATACATATTTGCTACTCTATGAACGTTATAATATAGAGTACTGTCAAATTGCTGTCACATGTTCGGTGTCTTATGAGGACTCTCATACATTATAAATAGCTCGCAAATCTGCTTAACCGTATTTATTTAAATTAAAAAAGTCCGATTTGAATCACGGTCCGATTTAGAACGTTCTCTCCTATTATACAGTATATGACATGGTAAACACATATATAAAATATTAAATATGTCAAAATAATAAACGATTAGGGAAATTATTAATTGGACATTCTATATAGATTTATGAATTTTTATATTATATAGATACTGTACTTTCTTACTTCTATATAATTTTCGTCGTCACGATCAAGCGGCGCGGTAGCGTCGCGACGCCGTATGTGCATAAAATAAAAATATAACCTTGTGTGTGTGTGTGTGTGACATGATCGCGTGACGCGTGAATGTCACTGCAGTACTATCACGAATTAAACAGATTAACATTTTAATAATTAATTGATGCATCTTATATCAATGTTAAACTATATATTAAAATCTGAAAATAATAATTTTTTGTTCTGAGAAAGATATTACCACGGCCAGGAGTCGAACCCGGATCTCTTGCATTTCGTGAAAGTGTCCTATAGCTAATTAAACTATAATCGGTATACCGAAACCTTAGTAATAATAATTAATATTCATCGCAATAACTGGTATAAGTGAAGTGACAAATTTTTTAGCAAAATTTTTTAGGGTTTGAGTTTTTTTTTTAATAACTTTTTTGCTAGAAATGTGCAAACAAAAATTCAAAACGTGCATATATGTGTAAACGATGAGCAATCAAATTAGCTATAGAAAGTTAATTTTTTCAAGAGTTGAATAGCCAACTTCGCATGGGTTATATTATCAAGGATATAAAGGTGTAGACTTTAGTAAGTCAGGCATAAAATTAAATTACGTTATAATTTTTTTAAAAAGAGATATGTAAGTTATATAATCTGAAACATCTGTCTGACATATGTCTTGAAGTTCACATCTGTAGTATGTCATAATGATAAAATATAACTGTATCTGTTTAATCTAGAAATCATAAATCACACACATTTTGATATTTCGTAAATGATATATGTCTCATAAACCTCATTTAGAATAAAAATAAATGAGATAAAATTAAAAAGATCTTTGAGATAAAATTTCGGATGGAATAGATAAGGATCGAATTAGACGTACTCGTAATTATTGTTGTAAGTTCTTATATTATAGCACTGATATCGATTATTTTAACATCATATAAAATAAGAGAGCGAAAATGACAAAGCAGACATCGCACTGGTCTACTAGGCGAGTTTCTTAATTCATCGATTGATCAATCGCATGATGCGTAGATGCAACACATGTTGCACTTGCGTATCATGCAATTGATTATAATCGATGAATTAAGAAACTCGCCTTATGTTGTATAGAGAACCGGTAGATCCAAAATTTTCATCTTATCTTATTGTTAGAAAGAATGGTAAACCACCGAGAGTATTTTTTTGTCCTATAAGAAAACTTATTCCCTCGCTTATTCCCTAACAAAATTTCATCATTCAAAATCGATATTAAACATTTATATAGGTCCCATGCGAGATATTTTTCGCAATAAATAAATTTATCTACAGATTTCTATAATATTATATTAAAGTTTCTCTAATAGACGCCTATTGATCATCAAAATTTAATTAACATTATTTCATGTAATTTAGCTGCGTTTGTAAATCCGGGAAAAATTTCGATGCGCAGTTCAATAAAGCTATTAAAATTTTATATATATATATATGGTATATGGAGCATTCCATTCCAAGTGTTGCCACTCGAAAACTTTTGGATTTTTGATTTGGCTGAAATTTTGATATATTATAGTACCCAAGAAGCTACCATAATTTTTTTCGAATTTCTTTATCAACATAGTTATGAGATATGCATTTTTTTTTCAAAATTCGCATTTTTCGAAATTAGCAATTTTTAAATGCTTATAACTTTGCGAAAAATAATCCAAATAAAACATTCTTTTTTTTAATTGTGTTTTGTTCTCTAGATTAAAAAAAAGTATCAAGAAATGTTTCGAAAGTGTTTTTTAATTTTGTTTTAATTTAATGTAAAAAATTATTAATTTTTTAAAGTATGACACGTTTAATTTAAAAAAGAAATTCTCATAAAAACTTAGATTTATTTGATGATTCTTAAGACTAATTTGATCGTGGGCAAATTTTTCCTTCTATTTTTTTTCGAATTAATTGTTTTTTAAATTTGCATTTTTTTCACAGAGCTACTCTGAGAAGTCGGCACCCCTAAATGCAAATTTTGATAAAATTATTATTGCATTCGTTTGTCCACTGTTTGTCCACCCTCCAAAAAAAAGTTATACACAAAAAAAGATTGTAGTACCACCGAGTGATTATTTTTCATTATGCCTCATATAGATACTATATACAATATATACACATTTAATATATTGTATATATATGTATTATATGTGTATCTGTATTAGATATTTGTATACACATATGTATTTTATATATATATATATATATGTATATACATACAAATTTACATTAAATTATTTAAGCAAAACAAAGATCAAGTTTCAATCGTTATATATTTTAACGTTAACAGTACACACAATACAGTTATTATTATTATTATTATTATTATTATATAGCCTTTTATTTATATTTTTTATTAGTTGTGTTCTCACGGTTCACACATATACGATCCTTAGATTTAATATTTAAGGGATGCTGGAGTATTTACATATATGTAAATACTCCAGCATCCCTTAAATATTAAATCTAAGGATCGTATATGTGTGAACCGTGAGAACACAACTAATAAAAAATATAAATAAAAGGCTATATAATAATAATAATAATAATAATAATAACTGTATGTAAACGAATGCAAGCATATATGCAAACAAAAAAAATTACTTTTCCGTATTTGGCTAATTTATAAGAGTATCATGAGACCTTCTAATTATGATTTTTAATTTTACAGAGAAATAGCATGAGAAATACGATTTAATTGTACATAATCTCACATTCAAGCGATTATAAGATATAGCAGAACAAGAAATGTACGTAACGTTTTACTTAATGGCTTATTTAATATGTATGTAAATGTTTTCTTGATGTATGTAATAATTTAATTGTAATTAGAAATCTATTCTATCTATAATACAAGCGGGTCCAGCATCACCTTATATTGAATTATACTTATTACAATTGTATATATTTTTCATCAAACCACTTCAATTACCTACGGATGAAAATGTATTTCTGTGCACGTGTAGCATTGAGTTTAGCAACATCACATCCGTGGCGCAATTGAGTTTGTAATCAGCTTTACCGACCAATCGGGCCATGTCCCCGTCAAGTAGCGTGCTCTGTATTGGCAATACGATAATGACCGAATTTTAGCGGATTCAACCGAAGCGAGCGAGTCTTCGATCTTGACTCGTCGCGAGTATGCATCGCAAATTCACATGTTTAAATTCACAAGCAACGAAGCTACGAGCGGCTGTCGAGACGAGGCTATACGCACGTTATACTACATGGGCTGAAAAGTCCCGGGATTTTTAATGAAAACAAGCGTTTTTTGGCCACTGTTATATTTATTCCTCAACATAGCCGCCTTCGAGGGCGAGACATTTGGTAAAGCGATTTTCCAACATTTCGATTCCCTTTCTGTAGTACGAAACGTCCAAGCCTTCGAAATACGCCTCAATTTCCGCGATGACTTCCTCATCCGATCTGAATCTCTTTCCCTGGAGCCACCGATAGAGGTTTGGGAACAGATAATAGTCGCTGGGGTTCAAGTCTGGACAATCCGATGGGTAAGTAATCATTTCGAATCGTAATTGATCCAATTTGATCCTCGCTTTCAAGGACATGTGTGGTGATGACGCTTCGAGAAGTAACAGAACGTTTTTCTTCGCCATATGGGGCCGTTTTTTCTTTATTTCGTCGTTCAGTTTGTCCAATAACGCTGCATAATACTCTTCCGTAACTATTTTTCCCTTCTGCAGGTAATCGATGAAGATTATGCCATGCGTATCCCAAAAAACGGAGGCCATAACCTTCTCGGTCGAGCATTGGTCTTCTGGCCGCTTTGGTCGGCTTTCGTGGCTTTCCAGCCACTCTGCAGACTGCCTATTGGACTCAGGTGTATGGTAATGGACCCACGTTTCATCCAACGTCACCAAACGTTGATAAACGTCCGCTCGATGACGCTGAAACAACGCCAAACCGGCCTTTGCATAATAAACACGTATCTCTTTTTGGCCGAGGTTCAGAAAACGCGACACCCATCGCGTCGATAGCTTTTTCATCCCCAAAATATCGTGCAAAATGTATCCCGCCTGTTCTTTTGAGATGCTTACGGCCTCAGCTAACTCGCGCAACTTTATTTTACGATCCCTCAAAACGATTAGATGCATTTGCTTTACGATTTCCAAATTCGTAGCCTCTTTTGGCCTTTCCATTTCAAATTCACTAAACCACCGATAAACTGTTGTTCTCGAAGGAGCAGATGCTGAGGGATAACATAAATCCAACAATTGCAATGATTGTTCAGAAGTTTTTCCCATCAAAAAAAAACCTTTGATCAAGATGCGATATTCCTGTTCTTCCATTTTTTTTTTTTACGAAGGCGAGAGTAGCTCATTCAACAACTGTAGCTTGTAAACGAATGGATGAACCTGAGAGCGGCCATGTCCGCGATTTAGATGCAACTCCAACTTTATTTTGAAGCGCCTCTATATCCACAAAACGTGGACATTGAACTATGTAGCCAATGTCCACGATCGTGTCGGTAATGTCCACGACTTTTTGGTTCGAATCTTCCCTATGTCTATGTTTATCGATCCGTTAGACAGATAAAGACAGACTATCAATCCGTCGGTGCTTGTTCTACTACTAAAAAGAAAGACTCGCGGCGGGCCGGCGACGATAGACACGCGCCGAGCCAGCAGAGACCTTATTCCGTGATTCTCCTCTCTCTCTCTCTCTTTCTCTCTCTCGCCCGCTTTTTCACATATTGCATTATTCGTAAATAATTCGGGAAGAGAAAGATTGACGACTCAAGCACAGAATTTGTTGCTCGATGAATTTGTAGCCAAATTCTTCTACACATCATTTACTATCGATATTCGAATATTTGTTGCTAACTATAACATAAAAAACAATTATAGTTTATCCCAGTCGTTCCCGCACCGTGCATTTAAGATCTTAAATCTTGATAAAAGGTTGATGATGGTTGCATGTTTTTGATATGAAAATATTCCTCGTAATATACACCATCGAAACATGACAACATCTGAATTTGTTGCTCACTCTGAAGCGTGAAAAATGATTTGTTTATACGGATCGGCGCCCGTGCCGAGAACTTTATTCTCTTAAACATTGCTCAGAGAAATTGTCGTTCGTATGTATTTGCTATGAAAATATTCCTCGTAACATGCACTATCGAAATATGGTAATATCTGAATTTGTTGCTCATATGAGCAAAGTTTAAGAGAATAAAGTAGCGGCCGTCGCTTACGTCTCAACTGTGATTGGTCAATTCGCTTACTGATTACGTTTACGGTCTTACGTTTTTTCTATGTGCCATGGGCTTTAGGCTGGAGTCACATTGAGCGGAAATTACAGCGGAACGGGACAGTGAAACCAATCAGAACTCTACAATCACTCCGCTACTTTACTTTCTGCGATTGTGATTGGTCTCGCTGTTCCGTTCCGCTGTAGATTTCCGCTCAATGTGACTTCCAGCCTTAAGCCGTAATCACACTAGCGATTGCGCGATTGTGATCGACGATTGAGGATTATTTCTCAACCAATCAGAGCAAAGCAGTCACCGATTGCTTTGTTCCGATTGGTTGAGAAATAATCCTCAATGTGATTACGGCTTTAGGGCTTCTTTCACCAACGCCGATTGACTTAATCGACGATTAGTCCATTGGAATTGACCAATCGCGTCTGTCGTCGAAACTAAATGATAAATGCGATTGGTCAATTCCAATGGACTAATCGTCGATTAAGTTAATCGGCATTGGTGAAAGAGGCCTGCACTATACGACCTTGTGCCTGCGATCGATAAACCGGATAAACAAGCCGATCGATAAGTGCAGTGCGGCTCGGTCGCGCCACGCCGTACCGGTGAGAGCCGGCGGCGGCTCGCGGAGTCGTCGCAACCACATCGCCAAAACATTGTAATACATAAATGCACACTCGTGCGTCCAGTGCGTCTGTGCGCGCGACGTGCCGCTGACGTTGACAGCTCCGTTGCTGCTGCTGCTGGTTGCTGCTTTCACACGTGCCGTACACACCCGCGCGCGCTCGCGCGCGCGCGCGCGCGCGTACCCGACGGCCGTTCGTACGTCATAAGAACCGAGAGCACGCTGTCGAACGGCTCAGATCGTGTTCCGGAGCAGTGCGTGTCGCACGTATCGCGAATACATCCCGGCGAGAGTGACAGTCTGCCCCAACTTCTCCGGCAATTATTTACCGTCCTTCTCTCCCGTTTCTTTCCGTTCGTCTTCTGCTCGTGTCTCTACACACGTCGCCGACGGGCAACCTTGATAACATGTGCGGTAAGTACATACATACGTATAGCGAATTTTTAAGCATCGTCGTCGTCGTCATCGTCGTCGTCGCCGTCGCCGTCGCTTTCTCCTCGCCGCGCCGGCTTGACGCGGTCGATGTGCATGGCAATTCGATTTGTATTTATTTATGCGCTTGACGTTACGCACTCGTGGATCTCTCGTTAGGTCACGGCGCAAGTGCCGTTTATCGCGACAATTCGATCATCTATTCGGCAAACGACCATGTGAAATTGAGCGGCGGGATTACGCCCAGCTGCTGCGCGGAAAACTGTATCGGGACGTTGCGGCTCTTTACTTACGGCGCCGGTATGCAATTATCGAATTGTTCACAACGAGATGCTAAACAAACGGTGCTGTATGGAAGGAAAGATATTTATCTCCCCATGAAGTATTTGCGATACAGATATACAATCGCTAGTCAGTCAATTATCGTGCGATTCTATTGTTCATTTTTCATTCGCTAATTTGACAAACTTTATTACCTGCTGCGCAAAACGATAAAAGAACGTGCTGCAATAATAATAAAATTCGTCACCGTATAAATACGAGATCGAGCAAACACGTACACGTGCTGCTATAACAGAGAGAAAGCTTGTCATTGAGCTTCTAAACATCGAGCGACGTATATGTGTTCTAATTTTAGACAAAATGTCAGTTGATTATTAATGGGAGTAGTGCAAGTTGAATACGTAGTATGTATGCTACTTTAGCATAATAGAGCCATCACCTTCAATACAAACATTTTGTTATAATTCTTACGTTGAATGTGACAGCTTTTTGCGCATCCGTGTACAAAAAATGTTTAATATAATTCATTATTTTTGTAGTCGACGATACACCAGAATGTGACATCGTTAACTTTAAAGCGAACCGCTCATATAACAATTTCGATAACGTCGCCCATAAAATTAGACAATTAGACGATAACGTGATGTAATGAACGTAAATTGTTTCCTGATTGTTGCGACAGTTTCAGGCTTTGGAATAATTATACGAATCTTTACGACGCGCGGTTTATGTGATTTTTATTCGAGATTTCGGTACGGTCATTTTAGATGGTGTAACATCTTTGGATGAAGCCACGCCGCATGGTGGCGGCTCGAAAAAAATTCATTGCGGGATTATGAAAGGGTTTTGCGCAAGTCTCGCTGCGGAGAGTCATGTTTTCGATTATATTACTGATGTAATCGACGAAATTCTGTTTTTAAATTAAACTTCTTGACAAGATGAATTGCTTAACGTTTGTTGATCTTACCAGTATGATAGTAAGTATTTACTTATCAAGACGCAATTTCGATTTCTAAAATTGAATTGAAAAATCGAGTAGGTGACTTAATTAAAAAAATCTTCGAGTAACAATTAATTCCAAAAACGAATAGATAATCGAAGGCCTGAGGAACATCGGGAATGTCACGTCGGTGATGCGTTGATGTGCGTTCTCGCAGGAATGTTACGGTATGCCATACGTTTTTCCTGCGGAATGTACGAGACACTGCTTCTTCGAGCGTTGACCTATACATAGATTGCGTTTTTGGTATTTACCAGACAGCTCGACAGAGCTAAATCTCCATTCGTACGCGTACACAGTCACGATGGATTGCATGCATCCTGTTCCACTGAGATGAAGTTCTAATGAAAACGTCTGTAATAATTACGGTGCTCATTAAATCTGTTGTTATCAGTTTTCGCGAATTAAAAAGATTTCATTTTTTTTTTTAAAGAATTACTGAAGATCATTCGAATTAATGCCTATTCGGGCGATTGATTTAAAGCTTAAATTCCGAATTCAAAACGCTTGCATGATCTAAGCAGAAAATCTGCCCATTATTTTACTGTCACTGTACAAATTTACAGACGAAAAGTCGACTTTGATGAAAGAGTGATTTATGTTCCCGCATATACAACTGTATTCGTGTATGGCTTTTTGGTGATATGTAATTTTTGATCTGATACGAAGCGATATCGACGACGCTCGATTCAATCGAGTGAAAGTCTCTTTTTCGAGGTGTATGCGAACCTGAGCGAACCTGAGGCGAGAGGGTGCAGCAGCATAGCACAGGACAGTTATATATGACATTTAGACGCGACAGAGATATCCACCTTCGGCTCCTTTCTCCCCGATCGTCCCCGCCACTTCGTATTGCTTCTCGAGATTCGATTGCTATGAATAAATTCATTTACGAAATATTCGAGCGGAAATTATCTGAAGTATTAGAACGTGTAGATTATTATTAGACGACGTTTAAATTATTATTACAACGCATGCCGTAAATACTCGATTTTTCATCGTTTCAGTGTCATATTCTATATACTTTATTCTAATTATGTATATAGAATGAGATATCCTTTACTATAAATATACAATCTTATATAAATGTATCTTTATATAATAATTATGTAATTTGTATATATATAAGTATATTTATTATATTTAATATTATATAAACGTGCAAACTTTAAATTGCTCGTCAGTATCAAAAGATAATTAAATAAGTAAAAGAAGTGAACTGTGCTTCAATAGGGGTATCCGTATATGAAGAAAAAAAAAAAGTAAAGGAGCAGCGTGCGTGTTAGCTGCTCGTTAATTAACTTCGCTATGATTGCCGTGAGGCATTCATACGAATATCGTGGTCAGTAGGTCGGAAGGCCAAGTTCTTCGTCTAGATAATACTATCGCGATTATCCATCAACTGTCTGGTCGTTTAACTGCAGTCTCGTTCATGCATGTCGGTTGCATCTCAATTGCCTTTGCGTCACAATAAAGTTTTAACATTTTTCACGTTAGACAAAAGCGGTCTCACTGTCGGCGAGTGTCCTCGAAGAATAGTTGAACATTTTTTTATGTCATGTCCATTTTTCGTCATGCCATCCAAAATAAGACCGAATTTATGCCTTCGAATTTTTTGCTTGAGTTATATCTCGATTATTTGTTTAAAATAAAACAGGACAACATAATAGTTTTTATTGCGCTTAAAAAGTATTGCGATGACACAGTTTTGAAAATGCACTTTTACTGTTTTTCTAACCACGATGCGATATAGCGAATTGTAATTATATATGACCA